TCACCACAAACCCAGCTCCGCGACCCCCTGCAACCAACCCAGCTCCAGCCCACGCCGCGGAGCAGGTCAGTGCCCCTCCTGTCCCAGGGAGAGGGCCAGCAGCCAGATTTAACAAAAGAAAACCAGGACCTCCTCTTGTCTCTCTTTTTTTTTAAACCTGAAGTGACCTGCGCAGACTGAACCCGGCTCTCTGGAACCAGGAACCTGCAGCTGCTGCTCTGCCTCATCCTACCCGTGGCCGCAGTATCAGCCATTCCCCTGCGATGCGTCACTTGGCTCAGCGCGCACGGCTCCCGCTGCAGACGCTCCTCGCGTGCCTGGTGAGGCTTAAATAAGTCCTGCTGACCCACTCATTATCTCCGTGGCTCTCTGAATCCCTCAGCCCTGTCTCTGTCTTGCTTAATCACTCGGATTCCTTGGGCCAAATGCTGATTCGTTGTTTATGCTTCATACGTTACCCATCCTTAATAAACAGCAATTACTTATGGGGCCTCGATAAATCAATTATTCTACTATGCGTACACATATTGAGCCAGCAACCCTAAAAGGTGATTTTCCAGATGGCTGGAATAAATCTTTGTGTGTCAAGGGAAGGGTGACAAGACTCTCTAGGTTTGTCTGTGAAGGTTTAAGCACCTCCAAGCCACCCTGTGCCCGTCCTCAAACCTCAAACCCACCAACCAATCACGTGGCAAACTCAAAGCGACACGTTGCTTCGCTTCAGCCTTATCCAGAACAGGAGATCCTGGGACCACTCAGTGTCTCTGGATGGTGACGACTCCATCCGAACGGATCAGGAGACAAGCTAGACCAGGCTGCAAGGACACCGACAGCAACACGACAGGAGTCAGAGGACACGGCAGTTTAGCTGGAGGTGGCTGGACCCTTTGTCACATCCTCCAGAGCCTTCTCTACCTTGTTACCACCTTTCTCTTATCCTCGTCCTTTTTGAGCTTGTTTTGCTGTACAGCCAAAGAGGCTGGCGCCGAATCTTCAAGGCCAATTTTGGAGACCAGCCCATTCCAAATTGAACCAAATACC